ACTGGTCTCTCTCTGTATCAGGTTGGTATAACTGGTCTGTAAGTGGTCTCTCTCTGTAGTCAGGTTGGTGTTACTGGTCTTTAACTGGTCTCTCTCTGTAGTCAGGTTGGTGTAACTGGTCTTCAACTGGTCTCTTTCTGTAGTCAGGTTGGTGTTACTGGTCTTTAACTGGTCTCTCTCTATAGTCAGGTTGGTGTTACTGGTCTTTAACTGGTCTCTCTCTATAGTCAGGTTGGTGTTACTGGTCTGTAACTGGTCTCTCTCTATAGTCACGTTGATGAACTTCATCCACAGCACTGTGATGGCTGCCAGCAGGAGAACACACAGCAGCCCCAGACACACTGCAGCCAGTCTGCTGCATCTGCTCTCTGCAGTGTCTCCTCCTAGTGGGAAATAAACACAAAAGCATGTGTGCTTTAGTTTATGGGAGTATTAACACTTAACCCATTTCAGCATTTAAAGTAGACTCAGACCACTGAGAACAGCTAAACAAACACCAGACCAGTACTTGACCAGCATAAATCAGCTTAGACCAGTTTAGACCATTCTTTTAACTGGTTGTAAAATACATAGGAAATCTCACAAAGCTCAACTCAGCATTTAGAGATCTAAATAAGTGCAGTATCTAGAACAGCCTGAAAAAACGTTTTGTGCGTTATTTGAGCCAAACGTTACAAACTCTTCATGCCGTTTTTGTCTTAGTTAACCAGTAATTTCACATATTTTTTTGGGTAGTGGGTTTTGCAATTTATTTATTATTGCTAGAAACTTAGACAAGGATTTAGGGTAACCCAGATTTATTTGAAGTCTACAGACGAGGACAAGAGAGAGAGACGCTTGCACCGAGGATACTTCAATAAAAGGGAATTTATTGGCTACATGTCAAAACTACATTTGGACTACTTTCAAGGATAAACAACAGAAAATAAATAAAAATAAAAGTCAAAAGAAACAAACAGCTGAAAGTAAAGTGATTCACACCTAAATTGTATGAGGCAGTGTGGTTCTTGGGAAGCAGCTCAAAGCTTAGGTGTGAAAGAGCCTCTAGAGAATTAACCTAAGTATGGATGGGAATAACTATATATGTGGATATATCTATGAAGAGTTTTCTTATTAAATAAATCAGTGCCAGAGCCCTGACTGCAAATTGAAGGAGGCAGCTCACGTTGGAGTCGAGGGAGCTGACTTCAGGAGGGGTCGTCTGAGGACCGGCTCAAAGGCTGGAGCTCACGTTTTGGTTTATCTCCTCACTGGTGATGGAGGCTGCGTCGGCCACCGTTTCAGTCAGTGACTGGGCAGAGGCGTCTCGTGGCTGCTTGAGGATGGAGCTTGGGCAGCCTTTTGATGGTCAATCTGCTTACAGATTAGGGCGTGGCTCTGGGTGTGATGCTGAGTCTATGTGGCGTCAGAACTGCTCAGGCTGGTGATACTAATTCAACTTACTACCTCTCTTTGGCAGAGTTGAAAATGTGAATAACTTCTCCCTGGCCAGATGAGAAATCATTGACCTTTCTTCTCTAAGGTTGATTTAAACTTAAAGTGTACAAATGGACAGACAAGTTACAAAAACAAACAAAGGTTTCTGATCTGAAATTTTAGCGTTCTAATACTTCTGACCTGTCTTTCTGACCAAGGCCGGCACAAACTTAGAGATCAGCTATCATTTTGTTAAGAACACAGAACTCCCTCAAAAATTGCTGAGCACTCAGGTTTCGTTCAGCTGTAGGCCCTACCCTTTGGAGGCGGAGCCAGAGTGCTGATATGTTTAATTAGCTATTCCTTTTTTCTAACTTCTGATTAGTGGTGCATAATTTATGAGCGCCTTCCCCCAGAACTACTGCCTTCTTTGTGTCGGTTAGTTTTAAAACAAAGGAAAAGAAACATTATTCTAACATAAAATCAGTTTAACTTTCAAAACCAAGGAATGAACAACTAGGATATTCATGTATGTTTCATAAGAGACAGTTTAACCCTTGCTACCTGATACACAACATATGTTAAAAGACACAGGTAACATTTGACTGTAATATCTGGGTAATATCTGGGTTATGAATACATTCAAACAGGGTCGTTACCTGATGTATGAAGAAATAAAAATCAACAATGAAAGGAAAAAAAAAACAAAAGAAAGAAAAGAAAAGAAAACCACATTCAGGATGCATATTTGTCAATGGTCCAAACCCACTAGAATGAAATGGTTGCGTCAGTCTGTTATCAAAGCTATCCACTACGTATTCTGAGCCTTTAATGGGAGAAAAGATACAGGTTTTAAGTAACACACATAACAATAAGACCAATAAGAAAAGTAGTATTGCTTACAGATTATATAATTTTTGATAATCAAGCAGACAACGCAACAAGTTTTCTTGGGTTCTTTTCTTCATAAGCAAATATCCTTACGGCGGCGGTATGTTGTGTCTCATTCTCACCAATTGGGGGTGCTGTGGCTACCTAAATTGTTAATAAAATAAAATAAAAAAGGGCTAACTCTTTTATAGATTCTCATAACACCTCATTTTGGGGTCTCAAGACTTCTTGAAATGAACCCTGTTGAATGGTGGCAATTTGGAGGATGCACACTTTAGAAACTTGATTTCCTGTAATTCAAAAGTTTAGTTAAGAATCTTGGTAATACTCTGTAGCTGGATTCCAGGCATGGATTAATGCCTGGGGTACCTTTTGGGACAGAAGGTTGATAACCTCCCACGGTGTCCATGCTTGGTCCCAGGGTAACTTCCTTTTAAACTGTAAAGCTTGTTAGACAGGATAACTTAATCCTGTTTATGGCTCTTAGCGCAGACTTGACGGAGCCAAAGCTTTTAGTTTGGGTAATGTGGAGAGTTCTTGTACACAAGAGTGACCAGTGACCAGTGGTGTTCACTTCATTTGAAACATTAATGAGGCTTGTAGTTTGGGATTTTTGGTTTCTCCCCTTTAAAAGAGATAGGAGCCTGGTCTTGTCTGACTTGAAATAAATGCCAGACCCCTCAGACAGCACTGCATTAAAAGTCATGTTTCTGTGATGGACATCACCACATGAGCTCGGAAATACTTTGACCTTTGTCAGTAAACATTGTTCATCGCAACATCCACAATACACATTAAGACTGTACTGTGCACAGCTAAAGCCATATGTTAACGGACTGTTTTTCAGGGACACCAATGTTTATTTAAACATGACAACACCAAGAAATATTCTGCACATACTACAAGAGCATGGCAGTAGAGGCCTGCGCAGGACTGTTTTTTCAGTCCCGCTCCTGTGAGATTTCATCCAGTTCCCGTAGAAAATAGGAATCATATCTCCTAATCCCACCCGCAATCGCAATGATTTTTTGCGCACCCGCCCGCGCAGTCCTGCACATATCCAATATCTGCCACAGTCTAATCACAAACACGTTATCCTCTGCTGAAATAACACAGCAGTCATGGTCATGAGGCTCACTGTGACAAATTTCACCGAACACCATTTATTTACAATTTAAACACAAAGCAGGAATTAAACCACAGAGCGGTTATTTTTGCTGTTTTGCTGAGTGAAGCGGCAGCGCGAGCGCTACAGCTGGAACACGCTAACCTTTCATACATACAGCATTTGAGCTGTGGAGTGGAGCAGCGAGAAAGATATACAGACATTCCTTTTTCCAGATGGATAAATGGTCACTCTGCTCCATAAAAATATCATTTATAAATGTACACGGTATATCTGTTTATCCTGGACAGTATTCTGACTTGTGATTAGGCAAAAGTTTTAGGCCTGTAGATCAACTGGGAAATCTGTCTGCAGCACGGAATGTTTAACTAGTATTTCGTCATGGATATAATAAAAGTTTTCATGTGGTTTTCTGTTTAATTTTTAGTGATATTTATGGCTTATTTCCATGTATTTAGCCGCGTGACATGCATGGAAAACAATCTGCCCTAGGTCCTTTCTCTCAACACCACAGCTCTGCGCACATGCAGCCTGTTGGAAAGCGCTGACCACTTAACATGGGCGCCGAAATGAAAAGCAAGACTTTACGTGTTGCTCACACCCCGTGCGAAGGCCTGAGGCAGGGGTGCCCAATCCTGGTCCTGGAGACCTACCACATTGGAGATATGAGATCCAGCACAACTCTAATGTTCAGATACCCCTGAAGGCCTTCATGACATGGAACACGGAGCCGGTGTGTTAAATTAGGCTTGGAGCTGAACTCTGCAGGGTGGTAAATCTCCAGGATGAAGACACTAAGCACTCTTGCCCTAAGGGTTCCCCTCTGCATAAAATATGGCCTGTACAAAAGTTATGGGAAATGTTGGAACATTTATATTCATAACAAATGTGCAAAGGTGTGGTCTCTGTAGAGAATGTTCACTTACTGTCAGAAATGCATAATTAAAGACTGTGAGTGCTAGACTGACCTGCTGATGCATATAAGCACACTTGCAATTCAGAAAAGCAGAACTGAGACAGGCCATCAGTCAACTCCCAACTGCTGCAGAATGAAATGTTACTCCTAACAGCTTGTACTGACTGGAGATAACAGTAGTGTCACTAACTCAGTGCACATTAAGTGAATACTACATGGGGTCGTGAGTGATCAATGACTTCATTACGCAGAGAAAAACTGCAAAACTTTCCAGTACCTGTGTTGTGAATTTCTGGTTTCCTCTTGCTGTTGGTGTCCTCCATCTCTGTGTTGGGGTCATGGCGTCTAACAGTGTCTGCACCCTCATAAATAGCCACCATCATCACGGCTCGCTGTCCTCTGTTCAGCTCTTCAATGCTGATCACATCATCGTAAATATTCTGAGACATCTCTAATCTGTAAAAGACTCAGTAAAAGGCTGAATTACTGTGTCTCTGTCTGAAAACACTACTAATCATCTGCACTTCATATGCACATTCCTATTAGTCTGCTCTCAGTTCAGGAAATGACAAAGCTGTAGTAGCTTCTTTGGGTCAAAGTGTGAAAAGAGCAGAGTGCAGACTTCATGTACTCTCTTACATGTTGTTGCTGTCCCCTGAAAGCACTTAAATTATTTTGAATATATAGTCCCAAATGCCTTCACTCTACTATCACTTTAAATGCCCTTTTTTGTCCCACTTATAGGTGAATTCAGCACTTTGAGACAAATATGTAATGATTTGGAATTCAACACTTTGCTAAGGGCACATTCTAAAAGTATACTATAGGCTGCTGTGGGTTGTTTAGTAGCTCAGTAGTTCTCAGGGCTCACCAAGCTCAGATCCAAAACAAAATATTGTTTATAAATATATTCGGAATCAATTGTAGATTCAGCTTCATAGCTAATTCTGAATATATTTATGAAAAGGCTTTGCAACATTTAGATCTTCTTAGGAACCTAAACATCTTTTTTACTTCCCAGCTCTAGAATGTAAGCATGGATAGAGCTTGTTTGCAATAGTCTTATTGAGCGTGTGCAACATTTCTACTTGCAATGGCATTATGGCAGAACAGCTCTGCTCTAGTCAGCATTTAAAATAGTGAGTTACACTGAGGTCTGAGAGCCGCTGTAGATGTGACACTGTGATAAGCATAGAAGAAGCTTGGAGTTTCTGACAGTCACATGACTTCATGAGCAGAGGAACATCACGTGAGATGTTAATTTGACTATGTAACAGCCCCTCCCCCATGCTGCGTCTGCTGGCTTGACATCATTTAACTGTCAACAGGGTTAGCTGGCCTCTTCCTGTTCAAGCTGCTGTTAGTGACTAGCTTCCTGCTCCTGTGTGTATGCATACAATATAACCCAAACTACTTCAGTGTAAAGGGACAACTACAGGGTTCTAGCTAAATAACAGTTCCTTCTGTTCACATTTAAGCTGAAAATCTCTAATTATGGAGAACTCCTAAACTGAAGACCTCCAATACATCCCGGGTTGTGAGGTGCTAGTGGGTTTTACCATAGAGTTTTTATTTATTGCTTTTTTTAATAGACACATGCCCCCCTTTTCACAACTCAGATTCACATCAGCATAAAATGTTTTAACACTTATGTCAAATTTAAAACTTCATTTCCATTTATAGAACGTTATAACAGTGGCTTAAACACACTTTCTGTGAATGAGTGGAAATATATTTTTTGGTAGGCCTGTACCCCCCCCCGTACACCCCCCTGCCCCAACATCACCCCATTAAAGAGATTCAAGCTTGAGCTGCACCAAAAAGCCTCAAAATATGTTCTTTAAAGGGAACAAGCTAGCATTACTGCTCCAGAGTTGAAACCCTGGATTTCAGTCTCAGGTCACGGTTGGGGAGAATATATGAAGGCTGCAGCCTCTTTAGGATTCACAGTTCCTAAGGAGGGTTACCGGTTGCTTCAAGAAAGGGAGCTCCTCCAGGTCAGCATTTCAAATAAAAGAATTTAGCTAGCTGACAATGAACCAAAAATAGACCACTCAATTAAATTCTTTAGATACAGTTTAAGTTCTTAATGGTGACCACTGAGAATCATTTCTGCTGTAACATTACTTTGTCAGTCACCTATCAAGCAGGTCTGTACAGCAAACTTAGTAGCAAAAAGGAAGCAGACAGAACAGCATCTTTACTTTAGCTACTGTGGGTTAAATCAGTACATGAGCTAATGCTAACGCTAACAGTGCAACATGGCCCCTTTCTATATTCAATCCAGTCTTGTTTTCCTAGCTCTGCCCACCTGTGTTTTGTTTAACCTTTCCCAGCAGTTATTGTCTAGTCTCGTCTCGTGTGTTTAAAACTCTTATATTTCTGTATGCCTTTATGCTAAAAAGCCACCTGTCCACATTTCAGACCTGTGAGGAGGATCTCTGCTGAATTCTTGGATCTTATCCCTTTATGATGGTTGGGGACTTCTCTCTGCCTATGCTGATGCTCTAGACGCAAGCCTTGCCCGGCAGTCACAGTGTCTTATTAATCACTTGCCATGCAGGTAAAAGTTGCATCTGCTCTTTGTCTAGATCAGTCAAAGTCTTCACCACTGGAACTGAGAAACCTTGTGAAGCCATGTCCCTCATTGCCTCTGCTGCACTCCTAAACAGCCAGATACCATCCTCATGGAAGACCCGGAATCTCGCTGGATAAGGGGTCTTGAACATGATTTTCTTTGCTTGTACTACCTTATTTGCTTCAGCGTACTCACCACATTTCTTCAGGACAGCAGGGGGAAAATCATGATCCACATAAAAGCAGACATTGTTGTAAAGACCTATCTTTTCTGCCAGGCTTTGCGGAACACCTCTTCTTCTGTTCTGTAGCTGGAAATTTTTTAAACAATGGACCGTGGCCTCTCCTGTGGACTGGTTGGTTTGGGAGCCAGTGCTCCATGTGGTCTTTCGATTCTGAGTAGTTCATCATGTGAAAAACGAAGAGTACTCTTCAATCAATTCTCCAAAAAGCTGCTCATATTACAATTTCCTTCACTTCACAAATGCCATACATGTGGAGATTGTCTCTGCTTATTGGCCTTCTTGAACATTTAGCTTAGTCTTCATGTCTTCTTGGCATCATAAAAAGTGCTTAAGTAGCACTGCTACTGATTGGAGCCTCGTTCCTGCCTAATCAATTCGCTCTTCTGCTTGTTCTAGTCTGATGTTCATTCTGCTCAGTTCTTGTTTGATGTCACTCAGTTGTTGCTTGTTGTCATGTCTGAAGTCCTTAAGCAGCTCAATGGCTTTGATTAGATACTGGCTTATTGGTGGAAAGAGTGGATAACTCTTCTGGAAAGCTCTCAATTTGTACCTGTGAGTAAATGGCGTTCAGAGGCCAAGACATCAGCAGTAGTCATAGCACACCCCCTGAAGTGTTGGCCATCCTGTGAAGAAACAGATAGGTTGCCTTAACACCTTATAGCAGCATGAATCAGATCAATGTCGAGTCAGTCCACATAGTTAAGTTGCCAGCAGGGATGGCTAACTCTGTATTAGGGACTCCTGCCAACTGAGCTCCAGTGAGGGCTGCACACAATTCTAGGCGTGGCATAGAAGTTTGTTTGCAATGAGCCACCCTGGATCTTGCCATCCTAAATGACACATGAACACACTCCTGTGCACACTGTGCATAAAGACAGGCCACAGAACCGTATACTCATTCCAAAGCATTGCAGAAGACATGCACTTCTCTACCTGCTGCTTCATTGTCTGCACATGGGGGAATGTTGCATCTGGGTACTTCTACCAGAGATAGGTCTACAAGCTCCAACTCCCAGGTTCCCCATTGCTCCAGCACAGACCAGTTGATAGGATAAGCTCACCCCAGCCTATTTCTGCCTTCCTGAGATCTTGTATGAGGACTTTAGCTCTCATTGTGAAAGGTATAAGATACTCATATTCAGGGTCATATTGTGTGGCTAATACCTTATACACATTCCTGAGAGTTGGCTCAGTGAGTTACACAGCTTGATGCCTATAGCCCAAATGATTTGTGAAGGAAATTCCAGCGTAGGCCTAATGTAGGTTCTTCTGGGTCTTGGTATTGTTGGGAGAGCCATCGTTCTGTGCAGGTAGCTCTAGCATCTGCAGGGAGGTGTTCTAGAATGTTACTGGCCCACTGCCGTATTTCAAAACCCCCTAAGGCCAGCAGCTCCCGATTCTGGTCTATGAGGTCCTGGGCCTTTTCTGCAAAAGTAAGACTTTAGAGGCAATTGTCTACATAGAATGCTTGTTCTATGGAATGTACAATATCCTCGATGCCCACACTGTGTTCTCTCACGTGGCATTATAGAGCATAGGTGGCTGAACGGAGGCTGCATGTTGCCTTGAAAGGGAGTACCATTCAAACACTATGGGTTCATCCTCCCTTGCTCCAATTTCTTTATATCCTGATTATATCTCATCACTCCTTCCACCTCTACTCTGGTCGTGTGTTGTTTCAATATAGCCAAAGCTTGCTGATCCAACTTTGATTGGATGACACTTTTCTCTCTAACATTAGGCAAGGTGTCTAACGGCCGCAGTCATTCTACAGGGTGCAGGAGGTCAGCAGTGGGAGATGTAGCTGTGGTGAACAGGCACTGCTGATCACCCGTCGACAAATGAGCCATGTTTGATAAGCCTTGGAGAGCCCATCCAAGAGGAGAGCAGACTGCAACGGGACCTCCAGGTGGACCGACTCTTACTGGTTGGGCAGGGACAAGCAGGTGGGGGAAATCTGAGCCAATCAGTACCAGTAGGTGAACTCTATCTATAGATGAGAGAGGTAAACACTGTAGGTGATGGTATTTTGCCATCAGAGCTTTGACTGGGTAGCTATGCTCTGAGAGGCTAAGCTCATCTGCAGTAAATGCAGATGTGTGAGTGACAAGATAAGTAGTGTAACTGTACTGGCCTACAGCGAACTCACTTCTCTTCTTCTTAACATCTTAACAAGCTTTAGCAGCATTAAATCATGTCTGCTCCACACAACTACAGCTCTGTGTTACAGCAAACAACAGTCATATTTTATTATTAATGCATTCCCAAGCAACAAAAGTAAAAGAAATATATAGATATGGTATATAGAGTGGAATCATACATATAAGTTTGAGCAAGTTTGTAAGCACTTGGTAGCTTCAGGTGATCCTAATTTCAGTAAGGCAAAATCAGAATCTTTACCACTGCTGAAACTAGGCAAAGATGACTTAGGAATCGCATGGAATGTGGCAATCAGCAAATCCATTAAGTTAGTGCTTAGTGCTGAGTTCAGCCCTTGGTTGAGATGGTTTATGCCTGATCCCTGTAAGGGAAAATGTGGCTGTGGATGCAGAGCAGTTGGGGTATTGGGGAATGATTGGAGCTTGGGGTATGATCGGGCTTAATCCTTTGCAACTCCGCTGGATGTCTTTGGTGGCTGCTGGTTTGATCCGGACGTTCAGACCATCTATGACGTTGGGCAGAACAGGATGAATGCTGGCTGGAAACTGTGTATGGCCTTTGAGGTACCATGTTCTGTAGATGCTAGGGGAGGCACCCATGCTGACCACGTGTGAAAATCATAAGTCTCAGTAGGTTGTGACGTAGTATAGAGCCGGGACACTTGATGCGACATTATGTTTGCTGCATGAATGTCCTTTTGAAAAACTGATCTTCAGGTAAGGTGTGATGTAGAACAACAGAGAAGGTGGGACGTAAGCATCTGATATTGAGCCCCACAAAAACAGTTACTGAGGTCATGTTTATCAAACTTTTCCAATCTAAGTGGAGCAATACATGGAAATAATTTAAACATAAAGCTGTCAAATTTGGACAGTATAATTTGAGTTTAGACATGTAACACAGTGAAAAAGATTACATGTTCAGAAATTAGGCTCCCTGAGAGCAAACTGGAGTGATTTTAACAGGAAAATAGGATCTGTGGCACATTGAGACAAAAGCTCTAAGACTAAAACACAGGAAAACAAGTGTCCCCTGGGGAATGATTCAGTTCATTGAAGTGGGAGCTAATTGTATTACTTACAAATAAAAATTATTTACACATAATAACATTTTGCACCATCATTCATAAACTAGAAAGAAATCAAACATGTGAAAATGAAACTAGCTTTACTGCTCACCAAACTGCACTCTCTTTTCACATTAAGTTAACATTCAGCATTAAAACCTGACAGGTTAACCTTTGCAAAATATATTTATTTCCTTATTTCTTTGTTTTCATTTCTCAAAGTTTTATTCAGAGAAATAAGTTTTGTTCCAACATCAATGATATAAACTGTTGTGTAATTTTTCGCTATTCTATTCAATATTTGCCATTTCCATCAAGCCCTTTTAATCAATGTCAGAATATGCATTGAAATATGTGGATGGAAACCTGGTTATTGTCACAAAGCAGCTTTACAGTAATTTGGGTCAAGACTCATAATAGTCAAGCTGAGGGCAACAGGGACAAGTCTGATGAGATTCACAGACACAGAAATAACTCACTGACATTCAGCTCATACAGAGGAAGCATCTGTGACAGAAGCCAGAGGGTTTTAATTCTAACCAGCAGAGGGCGCTATTCCATAATAAAAGTACTGTTTTATATTCATTTAAAATCAATGCAGAACTGAGAATCTGTGAACAGCAGCTATTGAAAGAATCAGATGGACTCATTCTTACATGGAAGAAAAGAATTTTACATGGAACAGTTCAATTTTCACTAATATGAATTCAGTAACACTTAGAATTTCACAATCAATCAGAACCATGTGTCATTATATCTGGTCTGTATCTGTCTCCTTCTAAAATCATATCATTGTAACTGCCCTTATAGAAAGAACACATGAATTTTAAAGATGCAGCTAGATTCACACTATGAATATTCTATGCTATGCTAGTCACTTTCCCATAGATTATTCACTGCAGTGCCTAACAGGTGAGCTGTGTGTTGCTGCATATTGAATAGAAATAATGATCACGGAGGATCATCACTACTCTTTACAAGCAGAAACGATGGAGAGTCAGCAGCAAGTAACATTAGGCCACATTAAAAAATGTAAAAAACAAAGGAAGAAAAGAGACCAGCATCGGCAAATAACCAGGGTGAACAATAGTGTCATGTTTTTCAGCTGGAAAACCCTCATGAAGGACAGAGCACTTCAGACTGATGCTGAATTATATATATTTTTTTACAGTCTTTGAGTGGTCAAGTACTTTATTTGGTGTTGAGCATTATTGACATGACCAAACAGTTACACTTTAATTTTTTAAATTGTATTATAAATATGCATTGAAGTATAGCAGCATATTGTTACTAGCAATCCATAAGACTCTAGTTTCCATTCTGCAGCACTTAGTATTGCTGTAATAGTGCTTGGTCTTCATCAGGAAGAGTAAATCATTGGCTGAGCTGAGCTGCTGTCAGTCTGACACTTTCTCAGTAACGTCAGCTTTAACTGCAAGTGATAGCAAAGATAGAGAATGATTTACATTTGAAGCTGCTCAATGTGTTTGGTAGCTGTTGTGTTAATGGGACAGAAAACTGTTATTGTCTAAACTGGTTATGACAACAGCTGTGTCCAACACTGTGTTTGACTAATCAATGGTCTGCTTTATTTCTAGCTCCGCCCATACTTTTAAGCTCAGCCTGCTTGCTAAACTGGCAAAAAGAGTTACAAATTCAGCACAGGCATTCAGGTGTGGTATGGTTCACTTTTTTAGACAAGACAACAAAATGTGTCTTCACAATACATCACAGTATTGTGCTGTACTGGCCCATGTTAGCCCAGCTGGACCCCTATTACCCGAGTTTCTGAGCTAAATTGCCTATAATGTTTCATCTAATGGTGTTTTATTCATTAAACAGAAAAGAACAAGCACATCTAATCATTATAATATTTTAATAGTTGAAATTGATCAGTAAACATATTGATGAATAGCAAGTATCCTATTCCATTGTTTCAAAATAAAAAAATAAACAGTTTCTGTCATTCACTCTTAGTTAATTTTTTCTCACAAATTCCAACTACAGGGTGATTACAGGGATAATCAGCCCAGGTTGTTACATTTTCAGATTTAGCATATTTAGAGCCAGTTATAGCACAGTCCTCATTTTTGTCATAATCATTGGGCTCCCCCTTCCACCAGAACCTGAAAGAACAATAATGAATTTCTTCACCATTTCACATCTAGACCTTCACAAAATGGGCAATATGAATCATATGCAGAGTTGAGTGGTCTCTTACTCAGTGGTCAGCGCTGAGCCATCCACCCATTTCCAGACCCCCTCTGTGTCACTGTCTATCAGACCAATCCAAGCTTCAATGCAGCAAAATTCTTTACTGATGAACTCCTGTGAATGTTGTAAGACAATGTAATTAACAATGCTCTATTCTCTCTCTCTCTCTCTCTCTCTCTCTCTCTCTCTCACCTGTTCTTCTCTGCTGTTTATGATCAGCAGGTCTGCTCCTCTCTCTGTACAGAACTGTCTGCTCTCACTCCAGCCCTTCTTCTCAGTAGAGATGTTGTAAAGACTGAAGTTGAAATATCTCCAGCCTTGTTCTTGTTCAGAGTATAAACATAAAGACAGACACAATGCTGAACTCAATGTTATGAATGTTTACCATTCAAATGATGAGGGAGCCAGGGGTAGCTTAGCTCCCAAAATAGAGTTGTGAACCCCCCTAAAAACAAGAAAAAGTAAAGCTTGGGGAAGCTGGGTTATGTGGTTAATATGAAAAATAAAATTAGATCAAATCAAACTCTCAAACTGTTTCTGTTTTGGTCTTTTACAACAAGGCATCAATTTCATGATTCCAAGCTTGTTTGTTTCTGACCTGTGGTTTTATCTGTTTAAAGGCCTTTACACACTGAACATAGTTTATTTGCACAATTTATTCGAGACAACAGTAGCGCACGTATAAGTGGTGATATCTTGCACACTAAGACAATCCTTTCCCCACCATCACGTAAAATGAAAAGGATAGTAACATTATAGGCCAAAGCAGTCTTGTTACAAAATGAACCAATCATGCAGCCAAACACGGGCCAGGAGTGGATAACTTCCACATGTGCAGAGTTTGCTGGAAGCAGTCCTGGGTCCATAAAGTAGCTCTAGCGTGAAAACGCCCCTATACATATACCCCATGATTTGACCTTGGGCCTTGTGAAGTCTTTGTGTTCCTTACTTGAGTGCTGAGCTGTGTTTCTTTGGATTGTTTCACTGTGTTTGACTTGCTTTGTTTAACCTTCGCTGTTTTTTGTTAAGTGGATCTACTTTGTCACTATGAGTATTAGATTTGCCCTAATAAAGCTACTCTGTCCATGCACCTTTGCTATCAACCCCAGTCACAAATGGTTAAGGTTTCATTTAGGTAAAGCCTAAATTAAAATGGATGGTATTATATACTGAGCTTCTATGCCAGTTGTAGAGATTCTAAAATTGTGATCTTTGAAGTACATATATATTCACTTACCCTGTTTCAAAAACATTTGGAATCCATCGCTTTCCTTCTGTAACTGGTCTCTCTCTTTAGTCAAGGTGGTGTAATTGTTCTGTAACTGGTCTCTCGCTATAGTCAGGTTGGTGTAATGGGTCTGTAACTGATCTCTCGCTATAGTCAGGTTGGTGTAATGGGTCTGTATCTGGTCTCTCTCTATAGTCAGGTTGGTGTAATGGGTTTGTAACTGGTCTCTCTCTTTAGTGAGGTTGATGTAACTGTTCTGTAACTGGTCTCTCTCTTTAGTCACGTTGGTGTAACTGGTCTGTAACTGGTCTCTCTCTATAGTCAGGTTGGTGTAATGGGTTTGTAACTGGTCTCTCTCTTTAGTGAGGTTGATGTAACTGTTCTGTAACTGGTCTCTCTCTTTAGTCACGTTGGTGTAACTGGTCTGTAACTGGTCTCTCTCTATAGTCAGGTTGGTGTAACTCGTCTGTAACTGGTCTCTCTCTATAGTCAGGTTGGTGTAACTCGTCTGTAACTGGTCTCTCTCTATAGTCAGGTTGGTGTAACTCGTCTGTAGCCGGTCTCTCTCTGTAGTCAAGTTGATGAACTTGACCCACAGCACTGTGATGGCAGTCAGCAGGAGAACACACAGCAGCCCCAGACACACTGCAGCCAGTCTGCTGCATCTGCTCTCTGCAGTGTCTCCACCTAGTGGGACATGAATACAGAAGCATGTGTGCTTTAGTTCATGGGTGTTTTGACACCATTTCAGCATTTCAAGTGGATTCAGACTGCAGAGAACAGCTAAACAAACACTAGACCAGCACTTCTTTTTCAGCAAGGCAGTTCTGTACATTCATTGGGTACCTGCTAGCAGGAAGACTGGAGACACTGTTGACACTGACTGGAAAGCTCACCTGTTATACTGTTGTTTTAAGGATGGAATATTCCAGTCATTTCATGTTTTGATTAGCTCAGTGTTTTACACTGAGACCAAAATACAGACATGTTATTCACAGCAATGTTTAATGCGGCTTCATTTAGTTAACACCGCTAGAATAATTCACCTGCTGTGTTAGCAGATCTGTTATATAGGAGGAGCTCACTGGATGGAAAATGAATAGAAAACCTTGCAAAGCTCAACTCAGCATTTGGAGATCTGCACAAGCGCAGCAGCCAGAACAACCTGAAAAAAACATGTTTTGTGTCAAACGCGTCAAACTATTTATGCTGTTATTTGTCTTAATTAACCAGTTATCTCAAATATGTTTTTGAAACGTTAATGAGGTTTTTACTTTTGGATTTTTGGTCTCTCCCCCATTAAAAGAGATAGGAGCCTGGTTTTGCACAAATGCCAGACCGCTCAGACAGCACTGCATTAAAAGTCATGTTTCTGTGATGGACATCACCACATGAGCTCAGAAATACTTTGACCTTTGTCAATAAACATTGTTCATCGCTGCATCCACAAATGCACATTAAGAAGCATGCATGCACAGCCAGGCCTGGACTGGCCGTTGGGAGAATCGGGAGATTTCCCGGTGGCCTGGCCTGACAGCTGGCCTGGATGGCCTGGCTAGATGATGTTGCAACATATGATGACCTAAATAACACACTACAGCTTATGAACACACACTGTCTCTGTTTTGCAAATCACGTCTTTCCGCCGTGACGTAGCGTGTAAACACACTCATTACACGCTCGCGAGTTTGTGCTTATTGCATCTCACCAAGAAATGGAGGTGGCGCGGAGAGGGGAAGGATAAAAAAAGAAAAGCACTTGAAGAAGAAGCTGCTAAGTGTTCAAAAATAACTGATTTGTTCAGCAAGTGAGCGACAGGTCAGCCATGTTAAGAACTATTTCGCTACGTTAATTTAGGTTTGCTTTGGTTCAGAGCTGCCGGAACCATTGTGGCGAGTGGAATTTGACCCACCGCTTGTCAAAGTCCTGTGGAGACACCCCGCTGCTTTCTGAGTTCAGGACGGAACATAAAAACCTCTGCTTTCCCCAAACTGCATGAAGCGCTGAAAAGGCAGAGTAAAACTGAACAGCAGAGCCAATCAGAATCTCCATTTCAGCTGGGACATGCTTTCAGACCTGCCTTTGATGGTGCAGAACTTTTTCTTTAGTTCGGTTTTGACATACGACTCCACCCGAATTCAGGCAGCACCAAACAGCTGAACCGCACTAATTCAGGAGATAATTCAACACCAGAGGACGTTTTTGCTGTACTGTCTGCACAGCCTGCTGCTTTAACATTTCACTCTTTACAAACGCTCATATCGTTTCTGCACTGTGAGCTGCTGTAAATAAAATGTTAATGTGTGTCAGAGTTTGGCACATGGACCATAGAGCAAATTTTTGGCTAAGCGTGAGTCATCTGATCAGTTACATTTAAACTGGTATTCAAAAAGATGATCAGCGTCTCTCATGTTTCTGTTTTCATGGTGGTGAATGTGAAAGTAACAGAGCGCTTACATCCCTGCCGTCTTTAGAAAATGAACTGAGTATGAAAACAGCCTGATGTTCTTCAGAGATGTTAGCTAACAAATTCTGCTATCTGAGCAGCATCAAAACAAACACCGACACTGTTAATGATCAGGATCAGAGGTGGGTAGAGGATAATTAAAGAGTGTGGGCGCTAGACTGGCCTGCTATCTCATGGTCTTAATGAGTGCTCTTTGAATCAATTCAGAAAAGCACAGGTGTGAAATGATGTGTTACTCCTAGTGACTCATACTGACTGGAGGTAACATTAGCATTACTAGCTCAGTGCACATTCTGTGAATATTAATGAGGTCATAAGTGATCAGTGATCTCACCAGTGCCTTCTTGAGTCTTACCAATGTACTTGACAGTTGATGTTACATCAGCTGACTTCATTATGCAGCAAAAAACTGCAAAACTTTCCAGTACCTGTGTTGTGAATTTCTGGTTTCCTCTTGCTGTTGGTGTCGTCCATCTCTGTGTTGAGGTCATGGCGTCTAACAGTGTCTGCACTCTCATAAATATCCACCACCAGCTCGGCTCGCTGTCCTCTGTTCAGATCTTCAATGCTGATCACATCATCATAAATGTTCTGAGACATTTCTAATCTATAAAAGACTCACTAAAAGGCTGAATTACTGTGTCTCTGCCTGAAAACACTACTAATCATCTGCACTTCATATGCACATTCCTATTATTAGTGCTCGTCCGCTGTCAGTTCAGGAAATGATGCGGCTCCAGTAGCTTAAGTGTGAAAAGAGCAGAGTGCAGACCTCATGTGCTCTCTGACATGTTGTTGCTGTCCCCTGAAAGCACTTAAATTGTGTAAAAAGGTTTGTATATGTAGTTCATAATGCCTTCACTCTACTGTTACAAGACTTTTAATGCCTTATTTTTGGCCCACTTATAGGTGAATTCATCCGACACTAAGAGCAAATGTTAGAAGCAAAATATAGGCTGCTGTGGGATGTTATGTTGTTCTCAGGGCTCATCTAACTGATCTCTGTCTATAATCACTTTATTATAATTGGTCTGTAACCAGTCTCTCTCTATAATCGTATAATTGTAACTCATCTAGAATTGCTTTTTCTTTCCATGATCATTAGATTAGATTAAGTGACCCTTATTAGTCCCACAATGGGAAAATTTCCCATTTACCTCCGCAATCTAACCCATCTGTGCAGTGAAACACCACATACTAGTGAAGACACACACTAGGGGGCAGTGAGTGCACTTACCCGGCGCGGTGGGCAGCCCGATTCGCAGTGCCTGGGGAGCAGCTCAGGGGATCGAACCGGCGACCATCTGGTCGCAAGGCTGATTCCCTAACCTCCAGCCCACGACTGCCACAATCATGCCATTATAACTGGTCTATAATTGATCTCTATCTATAATTGTATCATTACTGATAGATACATTCATATTCTATGATCATGTCATCATAATGGATCAGTAACTGTTCTCTCATGTCATTGTAATTGGTCAGTAAGGGTTCTCTCTCTACAATCAAGCCATTGTAATTGGTCAGTAATTGGTCTCTCTCTCTTTCTGATTATATTATTGTAACTGGTATTTAATTTATTTCTCACTATAGTCATATTGTAACTCATCTGTAATTGGTCTCTCTACACCATCATATCATTGTAACTGGTCTGTAACTTTTTCCTAGGTATGATCACGTTGTAATGGTGGCAGTCGGAAACAGACGTTTGCAGTAGAGGCTTGGATTAAGGTCTTTAATAAGAAAGGGGCTGTCCAAAATCACAGTCGTAAATCCAAAGCAGAAAAAAGAAAACTAGAGCACCAAAACAGAACAAAAGGGAACGGCCAAAATCAAAGTCGTAAACCGAAAACAGGTCATACACGGGTAACCGCCGTTGTTTCGGTGTGCTTCAAGGCCACGACCATTGTCCCTGTGCCGAACATATCTCCAGTGTCTTGCCTCAATGGCGTCCCGTTGCACCCACACCCATCATCATTAAGTGCTTCGAGTGGCTCATAATGAGGCACATCAAGACCCAGCTGCCTCCTTCACTGGACCCTTAGCAGTTTGCATATCGCTCCAGCCGTTCTACAGATGACGCCATAGCCACCACTCTTCATCTGGCCCTCACTCATTTTGAAAAAAAGGACACTTATGTTAGAATGCTGTTCATAGACTAATTCCTGGACTTTCTTACTGAGAGACCTCAGTCGGGATTGGGAGCAGCATCTCTAGGCTGTGGGCAGTGGGCGGTGTGCTCAGTCCATTGCTGTTCACTTTGCTCACAGTTCCAACCACATTGTTGATTTCAGGAGAGCACAGAGTGACCATTTGGAACATGATGGAACATTTTATTTCCATCAACAACTCCCCCTGTGGAGTTCCTTGGTGTTCACCTTGCGGAGACCCTTACCTGGACCCTGAACACCAGCTTCATAACCAAGAAAGCTCAGCAGCATCTCTATTTCCTGCCGTAGTTAAGGAAAGCTCATCTCCCATCCGCCATCCTTACCACCTTCTACAGAGCCACTATAGAGAGCGCCTGCATTACTGCCTGGTTTGGGAATTGCACTGCCTCCGACCACAAGACCCTCCAGCGAATAGTGAGGACAGCTGAAAAGATCATCGGGGTCTCTTATCCCTCCATCACAGACGTTTACACCACATGCTGCATTCGAAAAGCCACTAGCATTGTGACTGACCCCACACACCCCTCACATGAGCTGTTCTCTCTTCTGCCATCTGGAAGAAGGTACCACAGCATTCAGGCCCTCACAGCCAGAATGTGCAGCAGTTTCTTTCCACAAGCCATCAGATTCCTCAACTCCCACAAACTGAATTAAAGGACACCCACACACATATGCACACATATACACAACAATATGGGACTAACTCACTCCTAACTTCTTGCAGTTCCAAATTATGTCTGGATTTAAATAGAATTATTGCATTTCACTGAAATACTTCATTTGATATAACTGTAGATCTGACTACTTGCATTTTGCACATTATTTCCACAACAATATCTGACTTTCATTTTTGCACATTTTACTTTACCTTAACAGTGTTAGCTGCTAGAAATACTGTATCAACCAAATACTGTATTCCATTGCTGTTCTGGTTGCTACCTTAGTGACTGCTATGCTCATATATGCTAGGCTATCTGCTAATCTGCTAATATGTCATAGTATGTTACATCCTCCTTTGCACAGCTCCACATACTCTCAGTACTGTGTACTGCCTGTGTTCTGTTTTGTGTTTATTGTACATTTTTCATATTTATTTATTGTACTGTATTGTCTGCATTGTGTATATTGTATTGTCTTACACGTGTGTTCCTGTGTTGCACCATGGTCCTGGAGGAATGTTGTTTTGTTTCACTGTGTACTTGTATATAGCTGAAATGACAATAAAGCCTGACATGACTTGACTTGAAGCAATCAGATACACAAGAGAATCGCTCAGTACGCACATGGGTGACGATACTTCACAGTTGTCCTAGCCTAAAGCCCAGGCTTATATACTAAACTAAATGACAAGGTAATATGGAACAGGTGTGAGTGTATACATGTGAGAGTCCTTAGTCAAGTAAGAGTCCGTAGTTATGTGGTGCAGCAAGGAGTTCTGGGAATTGGAGTCCTGGGCTGCCCCATTGGCAGAAGTTCCAACCAGGCCGGAGGGAGGCGTGACAGTACCCTAACTCGAACCCCCGCCATCTATTTTCAACCAGCTTTTTGCTAAGCTTTTCAAAACCCCAGTAAGCATTGTAGTACTTTCCTCTGAACTCTAACTCATTCTTACATTTCTTTGAAAGTAAAATATTTAAAATCAAAATCTCTTTTATGGTATCCTCCCCTAAAACCTTCTTTTGCTCTCCTTTGAACGCCCAGCCTCTAGACTCACCCTGCTTCTCTGCAGTAACCCTGTTACTGAGTCTCTTGTTAGTGAAATCATTACTAATTCTGAATGTACAACCTGCTTCCTCGACCCCCTCCCCACACCACTAGTCAAAGCCTGTATGTCTACTCTGGTCCCCATCTCACTTTTATCATCAACTGGTCATTATCTTCTGACCATGTTCCCTCGGTGTACAAAATTGCGGCAGTTACTCCAGTCCTTAAAAAACTTATCTAACTAATCTAACTTTAATAACTTTCGTCCCATCTCAAATCTTCTGTTCTAATCGAAAGTCCTTGCGCATGTTGTTACAGATCAAACATTATTTGGAAACGAATAATCTTCTAGATCCCTTCCAGTCTGGTTTTCAGCCACATCATAGCACTGAAACAGCTCTGGTTAAGGTTGTTAATTATCTGCTGGTGACCGCTGATGCTGGTGCTATTAGCATTCTCATGCTACTCGATTTAAGCGCTGCATTCGACGCGGTTAACCAATCCTCCTCTCTAGACTGAGTGAGTGAGTGAGCTGGGTATTGTAGGCTCTACTCTTGACTGGTTTACTTCCTATCTAACAGAACATAAACAATATGTTACTCTGTCTGGGCATCATTCCTCCACTTCCACTGTCACTCAAGAGGTCTCGCAAGTTGGCTTATTATTATTCATTATTTACATGCTCCCTCTTGGCAAGATTTCATTGCTATGAGGATGACACTCACCCCTCTTGGCAGTTTGGGATTGTGTCTCTCAGAAATTAGGAACTGGGTGAAACACAACTCTCTAATGCTAAACAGTGATAAGGCTGGACTCATTCTCATTGGTTCTAAATCTGCTCTTAACAAAACTGGCCCCCTCACTCTCTCAATTGATGATGTTGGTTTGTCCCCCTCCTCTGTGGTCCATAATCTGAGTGTCATCCTTGACTCCTCACTTAAACTCAACTCTCATGTCAGCTCCCTTGTTAAAACCTGCTTCTTCCACTTACACAATATAGCAAAAATCAGACCATCTCTTTCCCAGTCAGCTGCTGAAACTCATTCATGCTTTCATTTCTAGCCATTTAGGTTATTGCAGTTCACTTCTTATTGCAGGCATCAGCTCCTTATCACTTCATAAACTCCAGACAGTTCAAAACTCTGCTGCTCGTCTCCTCACTTACACCCGGTCACATCACCATATAACGCCTGTAATGTGGTAATGTGGTAATGCCTACGCTCTGTTTAAGACGGCTTATTAGGCAGGCAGGTGTTAGTAACATTTACTCTTACAAGTGTTTTGATGATTTCATCATCAATCTCCCAATAAATGGAGGAAATTCGCACTGAGGGAGGAAAAACAGGCTTGGGCTCTGAAGGACTCTCTCCTTTCAGGTCAGCAGCACCCCCCAACCAGTGACGCCACTCCTCTAAGGCATTTCAATGCAAGGGGTTTGCGATCTCCAATGCCGTAATTTTTTGGAATAAAAGGCAATTGGGTGAAATTTTTCACGGTCACCACTACGCTGAGATAGAACTGCACCTACACCAGTTTCAGAAGCATCCATCTCTACCACAAATGGTTTGGATGGGTCAAGATGTTTAAGGATGGGAGCTGAGATGAAAGTGGATTTTAGAGCTTGGAAGGCTTTCTCTGCTGCCGGAAACCAAGTTAACGTTTTAGATGCTACCTTAAGGAGAGTGTATGGAGAGTGTCAATGTAAGAGATCCAAATCTCCCTATCGTGTCACGGAGGACATAGTTTATGAATGACTGGAAAACAAAGGCTTTGTTAGAGAGCCCGAAAGGCATGACTGAGTACTCATAGTGTCCCCTGGTGGTGATGAATGCCGTTTTGCACTCGTCACCCTCCTTAATACGGATTAAATTGTAGGCACTACAAAAATCCAATGTAGTGAAAAACAAAGTTTCCACAAAGTTGTTCAAGGGCTACAGGGATAAGTGGCAAGAGATAGGCGAATTTCTTTGTGATGTCTTTCAGAGTATGATAGTCTATAAGGTTCTAAGACCCCCATACCTCTTTTTAATTACCTTACTTCAGCTTAAGTTCTTCATTAGATTGTCCTTTGTGAGGATGATCAAACACAGTTTTAAAGTCTTTCAGGAATTGTTCATAGGACAAACCTTGCAAACGAGAGCATCCTGAAGTGGCCCAGTCTAGGGCTTTCTCAGAGAGCCATGACACAATAAAGGAAATCTTAGCCTGGGCTGTACTAGTGGGAGAATTACTGAAATAAACAGAGGACTGCAACAAAAATCCTCTGCATTTATCAGGGAATCCATCAAACTTGCCTGGTTAACTTACAGGGAGTGAAAGAGTCAAACTCACTGACACTGTGTTGCTAGCAACAGAAACACAAGTAGTTGAAGAAGCAGTGAGGGATAGAGTGCGGTGTCGAGGATGAACAGCGATGTCGTTAACTCCAGCTAGGAGCTCGGAAAGCTGGGCCTGCTGCTCAGCTTGTTGTTGAGTCAGGTCACCAACTGACTGCGTGACATCAGCCAGTGCTTGTTGGTGATGGCCCAGGAGCTGACCTTGACTGTTCAGGACTTTCTGCACAGCCTCCATGTCTGCCGTATTCATGGTGGTGAGGTATCCTGTAACGGTGGCAGACGAAACCAGACGCTCACAGCAGAGGCTTGAATTAAGATCTTTAATGGGGTTGTCCAAAAAATCCAAAGCAGAAAGTCAAAAACCAGAGCCATAAACAGAACCAGAGTCATAAACAGAAAACGGGTCATACATGGGTAAGCAATCAGTTACACAACAGAAACGTTCAGTACGCACATGGGTGACGATACTTCGCAATTGTCCTAGCCTAAAGCTCGGACTTACACTAAACTAAATGACAAGGTAATATGGAACAGGTGTGAGTGCAAATCAGAAGTTCAGAGAGGAGGAGTGCTGATAGGTGGATCTGTGAGAGTCTGTAGTAATGTGAGAGTCTGTAGTCATGTGATGCAGCAAGGAATTCTGGGAATTGGAGTCCTGGGAATTGGAGTCCTCCATCCAGACCCAGAGGGAGCCATGACACGTCATTATATCTGGTCTGTATCTGATCTCCCTCTAAAATCATATCATTGTAACTGATCTGTAATTGCTTTCACTCTATAATCATATGATTGTAACATATCATTGCCCTTATAGAAAGAAAATATGAATTTTGAAGAAACAATAAGCGATGGTAACAAAAACAAAAATCAATACACCATGAATAAAAGGGTTTTGTCATTGTCTAAGTTTCTTTCATAATAGAACATGAGGGCTAGAGGGCTGTTAAGGCTATACTAGTCACTGTCCCATAGATTATTCAATGCAGTACCTGACAGGTGATTCGTGTGTTGCTGCATATTGAATAGAAAAATGATCATGGAGGATCATCACTACTCTTTACAAGCAGAAATATTGGGAAGTCTGCAGCAGGGACAATTAGGCCACATAAAACAAACACAAAAAAACAAAAGAAGAAAACTAAGAGACCAGCGTCGGCAAAGAACCAGGATAAACAATGGTGTGATGTTTTTAGCTGGAAAACCCTCATGAAGGACAGAGAACGTCAGAGTAATGTGGAAGTTGTGTGCTTTCAACTGAACATGTGAGCTAACCAATGAAATATATACAGTTTTATATCTTTGAGTGGTCAAGTACTTTATTTGTTGTCCAGCTTTGCTGACGTGACCAAAAAGTTACACTGTTTAATTTATAAAGTATAAATATGCGTTGAAGTATAGCAGTATTTTGGAGCTAGCATACATGCTAGTAGCATTCCTGCTAGAATATGTAACTAATGCTTTAAGCAATATAAAAATAGAAGTCATCCATACAAAGTTTCCATTCCTATAGGTTCTGCAAGTGATAGCAAACATAGATAATAATTTACATTTGAAGTCAGAAAGCTTCAAATAGACTTCAATCAAACGCTGCTTGATGTGTTTGGTAGCTGTTGTGTAACTTGAACAGAAAACTGTTACTGTCTAAAATGGTTATGACAACAACCAATCAATGGTCTGCACTATTTCTAGCTCCTCCCATATCTTCAAGCTCAGCACTTGCTAAACTGGCAAAAAGAGTAAAAAATTCAGTATAGGTATTCAGGTGTGGTGTGGTGTGATTTCTGAGGTACAGAAGTCCAGAGATGCCATGAGCTGTTGCTATCATTTTTTGGATTGTTTTCTTGAGATAACAAGATAAGTAACTTGTTATCTTAAAATAACAATCCAGAAAATTATAACTACCTCATGGCCTCTCTGGACTTCTGTACTTAAGAGTGGAAAAGAAGATTACAGATTTGTAATCATACTGTGCTGTATAGTCTCATGTTAGACTATCTGGACCCTTTTTACCTGAGTTTCTGAACTAAATTACCCATAATATTTTATCTAATGTCTTTTTATTCATACAGAAAACAACAAGCAAATCTCCCAATCATTATAATGTTTAATAGCTGGAGCCGATAAATAAATACAATGATGAATAGCAAGTATGCTATTCCATTATTTAAAACCGTTTGTTTTTCACTCTTAGTTCATTTTTTTCTCACAGATTCCAACTACAGGGTGACCACAGGGATAATCAGCCCAGGTTGATACATTTTCAGATTTAGCATGTGTAGAGCCAGTTACAGCACAGTCCTCATTTCCTCCATAATCATTGGGCTCCCCCTTCAACCAGAACCTGAAAGAGCAATAATGAATGTCTTCACCATTTCACATCTAGACCTTCACAGAACGGAGAATATGAATGATGAGCAGTGTTCAGTTCAGTGGTCTCTTACTCAGTGGTCAGTGTTGAGTTGTCCACCCATTTCCAGACCCCCTCTGTGTCACTGTCCGTCAGACCAATCCAACCTTCGGTATAGCCAAATTCTTTACTGATGAACTCCTGTGAATGTTAAGAAAAAAATATATAAGAAAATATAATTGACAGTGGTCTATTATCTCTCTCTCTCTCTCTCTCTCTCTCTCACCTGTTCTTCTCTGCTGTTTATGATCAGCAGGTCTGCTCCTTTACTTCTGCAGAACTTTCTGCTCTCATTCCAGCTCTTCTTCTCAGTAGAGATGTAGTAAAGACTGAAGTTGAAATATCTCCAGCCTTGTTCTTGTTCAGAGACAGACACAATGCTGAACTCAGTGTTATGAGTATTTCTGATAAACTCACTATTTGAATGATGAGGGAGCCAGGGGTAGCTTAGTTCCCATGAAATTGTTGTGATCTCCTCTGAAAACAACCAAATCTGAAGTTTGGGGAAGCTGAGTTATGTGGTCTCAGACAGCAAGCATATACCGGTCCACTGGCTTGATAAGGTCGGCACCCCGCTGACTGTTAGCCACTACTGGACTACAGATTATTGTCCTGCATACAAGCTCTAACTAGTTTTTAAATCTCCTCAAACAGATTTTAAATGCACACAGACTTTTAATTTAGAAAATAAGACAAACATTTCTAACATAAATATGCCTAATATAAAATGTTTTTATAGAAAATGTTGTTGCTGACATTGTGCTAGATTAAGATTTACTGAACTAGTAAATAAAATTTACTAAACTAATTTACAAAGTATAACTAAAGTAAGGAAAAATCTGTAAATTGGACCGTGAGTGGAAAATGAGCGATGATAAGCAGAATTTTGTCTATTACTCTGCTTAAACACTGGTGGACCGTCTGGAAAACACTGAGCAAAACACCAGTGGACCTCCAGCTTTGCCATTAGCGGGTCAACAGTGGCCCACTGTCCTCTTGCTATCAGGGGTTACTACGACAATTAGATGAAATCAAAATCTTAAACTGTTTCTGTTTTAGTCTTTTACAACAAGGCATCAGTTTCATGATTCCAAACCAAAGTTCAAATAAAGATGCTTTGAAGTTCTCTTGAGAGGAGCTAGTTTGTTTCTGTCCTGTGGTTTTATCTGTGTAAAGGCTTTTACACACCCAACGATTTTTTCCCCCTTATCGCTGGTGACCTGAACTATCTGACCAATAACAGTTGTCTCTGCTGTTGGCATGGCAACAACTTAGATGATGTATTAGCCCCATACCAGCAAAGAGGAACTTTTACACAAACTCTAAAAGGACCAGAAACTCCAAAAGCAGCTCAAACTTCACATTTTCACAATTCACATTTGTCCTGAATACTTGAGTCCACACTCAGGATGGATTCTGGGCTCATTTGGGGGAAGGGGCCCATTATCGCTGGCTTGCTTTCACACATAAGAATTCCATCCGAACTGTGGATCGATTAGGCAAGTGTCACTTTTGTGTGTGTAGGTTTGCAAAATAGTGGACATCAGCTTTATCCATTGGATACAAACACTCTAGTGGCAAAGAACAGCACTTTTTGTCCATAACAGTCCTTTCCCACCATCACAAATCATGAAAAGAGAGGTAACATGATAAGTCAATGCAGTCATGTTACAAAATGAACCAATCATGAAGCCCCACATGCAGCACCAGGAGTGGATAACTTCCATATGTGCAGAGTTCACTGTAAGCAGTCCTGGGTCTGGAAAGAGAGATAGTGTAAAAACGCCCCTCTACATACACCTCATCATCTGACCTCGGGCCTTGTGAAGTCTCTGTGTTCCTTACTTGAGTGCTGAGCTGTGGATTGTTTATTTGTGTTTGACTTGCTTTGTTTGCTGTTTTTCTAAATGGATCTGCTTTGTGACTATGGGTGTTGGATTTGCCCTAATAAAGCTACTCTGCACATGCAGCCTGCCTATCAACCCCAATCGGAGTCTTGAAGAGACCCCCAAAAGCCAGAGTAGAATTCCAACAATGGATAAACTACTTTTTGTTCATGATCATTGTTTGTCAGACTTCTGTTCTCCTGGTTTGATTCTTGTTCATATTTGTAGATGCAAAGCACCTCATTGAACTGACTTGTAACCAGATGTGGACAGAAACAAAGTTATTGTCATTTTGTAGTATTTTTGAATTGCATAACCGAGTTTCATGAGGAGAGTGAAATTTTACTCATTTAAAGCACAAGATGAGACCACATTGCTAATTAAACCTGTCAAAAAACAGGAACAGGCACGTCTGCACCAAGATGTAGCTGGATTTTGCTTACTGCAGCATTGTGAATGTGCGCCAAAGCCTGAATATCATCACTGTCGCACAAAAACCTTGTATCTCCATTTTTGTCATTTTCTACTTTTTTGCATACTTTTAAAAATCCTGTTTACATTGTGTTAAAATTTTAGTTGCACTATGGGGGCCAGGGGTTGGTTAAGGGTTGGCCTTAGCTCCCCTATCCCCCTTAATGGGCCATTGTGTCACTGTGCATTCTTTTTTTTTTGTGAATAAAGAAGTAGATAAACAGTTTGCCTAACATCTTCATACATAATCAAGCATAAATAAAAATTGATGTCGTCACATACTGAGCTTTTACGCCAGTTGTAGAGATTCTAAAATTGTGATCTTTGAAGTACATAGACATTCACTTACCCTGTTTCAAAAACATTTGGAATCCATCTCTTTCCTTCTGTAGCTGGTCTCTCTCTTTAGTCATGTTGGTGTAATTGGTCTGTAACTGGTCTCTCTCTTTAGTCATGTTGGTGTAATTGGTCTGTAACTGGTCTCTCTCTATAGTCAGGTTGGTGTTATTGGTCTGTAACTGGTCTCGTTGTAGAATCAGGTTGGTGTAACTGGTATGTAACTGATCTCTCTCTTTAGTCAGGTTGGTGTAATTGGTCTGTAACTGGTCTCGTTCTAGAATCAGGTTGGTGTAACTGGTCTGTAACTGGTCTCTCTCTGTAGTCAGGTTGTTGAACTTGATCCACAGCACTGTGATGGCAGCCAGCAGGAGAACACACAGCAGCCCCAGACACACTGCAGCCAGTCTGCTGCATCTGCTCTCTGAAGTGTCTCCACCTAGTGGGAAATGGACACAGATGCATGTGTGCTTTAGTATATGTGAGTATTTACACTTGAACCATTTCAGCGTTTCAAGTATTCATGTTATCAGACATTATAAAGGAGGAGGTTGGAAAATAAATATGAAGCCTTGTGAAGCTCAACTTGGCGTTTGTTTAGTACTGCATCCACAATCCACATTAAGACTGTACTGTTCACAGCTAAAGTCATATGTTAACAACATCTGTTTATCAGGGACACCAATGCTTATTCCAACAAGACAACACCCAGAATATTCTGCACGTGTTACAACAGCATGGTGGCGTAATCAGAGAGTGCAGGAGCTACACTGGCCTACCTACAGTTCAAACCTCCCATTGAAAATGTGTGTCTTGTTAAGCTCAAAATACAACAATGTATGGTCAAACAGCTAAAGACTTGTGTAACAGAAGAATGGCAAAGAATTACACTTTAAAAACTGGATCAATTGGTGTCATCAGTCCCTAAATGTTTATTAAGCGGTGTTAAATAGAAAGGTGATGTAACACAGGGTCACGCCTCCCTCCGGCCTTGCCGAAACTACAGCCAAAGGGGCCGCCCAGCACTCCAATTCCCAGAACTCCTTGCTGCATTACATGACTCAGAACTCTCACCGATCCACCTATCAGCGCTTTTCATCTCCAGACTACAGATTACACACACACACACACCTGTTCCTTGTTTTCTCTGTTTGTTAGTTTAGTATATAAGCCTAGGCTTTAGTTTAGCTTATTTGTGAAGTATCGTCACTCCTATATCCATACCGTGCCTTTCTCCCGTGTTCCTTACTGCTTTCCTGTGTGTGACCCATTTTTCAGTTTATGACCCTGATTCTAGCTGTACCCTTTTGTTCTGTGTTGGTTTGGATGTTCTGCTTTTGTTATTCAACTGTGATTTTGGACAACCCCTTCAACATTAAAGATCAGGTACAGTGGTAAACATGCTCCTGTCCCAACTTTTTTGGAAGGTGTGGCAGGCATCACATACGGAATGAGCATTTATTTACAAAAAAAAAAAGTTCATAACGTAAAACCTAAAATAGTGTTTTTGTACTGTTTTCAATTTTATACAGATCAAATTTACTAATAGCTGCTTTCTGTTTTATTGATATTTCACATACTCCAAATCTTTTTGGAATTGGGATTGTATTCAACTCACCTGGCTACAGCTCATATTTACAGTCAGTGATGTATCTGTGGCTTCCTGAAAACCTAGTGTGAAGTTATTTTTATTGCTCCCGCCTAATGGAAATCAAAATGTGATTGTTTGATTCCTCTGTCACTTTGTAATTACATGGATGGTCAATGTCTCTTCAGCTCTCAAAGTCCTAACCAATAAGAGAATTGCATAGCTATATCTACACAGATACTGCAAATAAAACCTATTCCTGATTAGCCAGTCTTATGTTGGGTGTTTCAAGAATCTAACTGTGGTGTTTTCATCCAAAATTTAACAATGAAATACAACAGTAGTACTATAATACTAATACTTATAAAGGCCTAGAAGGCCCTGAGGCAGGGGTGCCCAATCCTGTTAACAAGTAACAGTAGCATCAATAGCTCAGTGCACACTACTGTGCAGTGCTTACAGTTGACTTCAATATTCAGAGAAAATTGCAAAACTTTCCAGTACCTGTGTTGTGAATTTCTGGTTTCCTCTTGCTGTTGGTGTCGTCCATCTCTGTGTCGGGGTCATGGCATCTAACAGTGTCTGCACTCTCATAGATAACCACCTCCACCTCGGCTCGCTGTCCTCTGTTCAGATCTTCAATGCTGATTACATCATCATAAATATTCTGATTCATCTCTAATCTGTAAAAGACTCACTAAAAGGCTGAATTACTGTCTCTCTGTCTGAAAACACTGATAATCATCTGCACTTCATATGCACATTCCTATTATTAGTGCTTGTCTGCTGTCAGTTCAGGAAATGACGCAGCTCCAGTAGCTTCTTCTGGTCAAAGTGTGAAAAGAGCAGAGTACAGACCTCATGTGCTCTCTTACACGTTGTTGCTGTCCCCGGAAAGCACTTAAATTGTGTAACATGTTTTGTATATGTAGTTCAATGCCTTCACTCTACTTTTAACACCTTATTTTTGTCCCTCTTACAGGTGAATTCAGTACTTTTTAAACAACATGTAATGATTTGGAATCCGACACTATTTGCTAAGGTCAAAGGCTAAAAGTACAATATAGGCTGCTGTGGATTGTTAACTAGTTCTCAGGGCTCATCTAACTGGTCTTTGTCCATAATCACTTCATTATAACTGGTCTGTAAATGGTTTCTCTCTATAATCATATAAGTGTAATTGATTTAGAATTGTTTTTTCTTTCTATGATCATGTCATATCTGGTCTATAACTGGTCTCTATCTGTAATTATATCATTGTTAATGAATCTGTAACTGGTCTCTCTCTATGTCATTGTAATTGGTCAGCGATTGGTCTCTCTGTATAATTATACCATTATAACTGGTCTGTAATTGGTCTCTAATTGATCACATTATTGTAAGTGGTCTACAATTAATATCTCACTATAAATCATGTCCTTGTAGCTGGTCTGTAATGTTTTCCTCTGTATGATCATGTCATTATATCTAGTCTGTATCTGGTCTCCCTCTAAAATTATATATCATTGCAACTGAACTGTAATTGCTTTATAACCATATCATTGTAACTGCCCTTATAGAAAGACCATATGAATTTTAAAGAAACAATAAGCAATGGTAACTCCAGTCCTGGAGGGCCGGTGTCCAATACTGTTTGGTGATTAACCTGCTCAAACACACCTGATTACACATCTGTTAATTACAAGGTTTAGTGGGTGTGCTTGAGCAGGGAAACCTCCAAACTGTGCTGTACACCACCCCTCAGGACTGGATATGTGCATTCTTGATACAGACTCATTTGTTAAAGCTGCTAAGGCTATGCTAGTCACTTTCCCATAGATTATTCAATGCAGTATTAAAAAAATGTAACAAAAACAAAAGGAATAAAACTAAGAGACCAGCGTCGGCAAAGAACCAGGATAAACAATGGTGTCATGGAAACCCCCATGAAGGATAAAGAACGTCAGAGTGATGCCAAAGCTGTGTGTTTTCAGCTGAACAGGTGAGGAAACTGCACCATCAAACTTACAAAATCTCACCTGTGGAAACACGACTTAGTTTTCCGACCCAAACGACATTCAGTCCTATACGTTTATGTTTCTCCATTCAAATGTCATTTAAATCTCCAGAAACAGAGAAGTAAAGTTATACCTGGCTGTTTGCAGCTCCGTTAGGGCGACAACTGTTTATCTCTCGGCTGTTAACATTAGCAAAAGTTATCTAAAGGCTAGCATTGTTCACGTCTGTGTTCATTAGCTGATGTGACCTTACCCTCCAATGATGACAAAGAGGTTCTTCTTCTCTTTATGCAGCACCATGGGATCCTTTACCCACCCTGACGTGAAGAGCCATTGGGCTTCTGTGCGTTTAAATGCTTTGCGAGACTCTCCAGAACAGCGGGTGGGGTTGTGTATGAGGTAACGTTTCTTCTCTTCCAAAGTAAGGTGCGCAATTTTAGCCATCTTTCACCTCTAGTTACGGTTGTGCGGAGCAGCGAAGCCACAAATTCGGTCCCAAATATGGAGGCCACAACAGAAAAATCATGTGACTGAAACTCTAGGATAGCGGTATTTTGGCGCTAGCATACATGCTACATTCCTTCTAGAATATGTAGCGAATACTTTAATCAATATAAAAACAGATGTCATCTACTTTAGCACTTAGTATTGCTATAATAGCGCTTGGTCTTCATTAAGAAGAGTAATGAACTGGCTGAGCTGAGTTGCTGTCAGTCTGACACTTTCTCAGTAATGTCAGCTTAAACTGCAAGTGAAAGCAAAGATAGAGAATGATCTACATTTAAAGTCAGAAAAAGCTTCAAATAGATTTCAAACACTCCTATTACCTGAGTTTCTAAGCTAAGTTGCCCATAATGTTTTATCTATTATCATTTTATTCATTAAACAGAAAACAACAAGAACATCTCCTAATCATCATAATGTTTTAATAGTTGACACTGATCAATAAACACATTGATGACCAGCACCTTTATAGCCAGTTACAGCACAGTCCTCCTTTCCTCCAAAATCATTGGGCTCCCCCTTCAACCAGAAACTGAAAGAACAATAATAAATGTTTTCACCATTTCACATCTAGACCTTCACAGAATGGTAAAGATGAATGATAAGCAGTGTTCAGTTAACTGGTATCTTACGCAGTGGTCAAAGCTGAGTTGTCCACCCATTTCCAGACCTCCCCTGTGTCACTGTCTGTCAGACCAATCCAAGCTTCAGTGCTGCCAAATTCTTTACTGATGAACTCCTGTGAATGTTGTAGCAAAGAATAATGAACAATGGTTCACTCTCTCTCTCTCTCTCTCTCTCTTTCTTTCTCTCTCTCACCTGTTCTTCTCTGCTGTTTATGATCAGCAGGTCTGCTCCTCTCTCTCTGCAGAACTGTCTGCTCTCACTCCAGCTCTTCTTCTCAGTAGAGATGTAGTAAAGACTGGAGTTGAAGTATCTCCAGCCTTGTTCTTGTGCAGAGTATAAACATAAAGACAGACAGAGTGTTTACCATTCAAATGATGAGGGAGGCAGGGCTAGCTTAGCTCCCAAAATATAGAGTTGTGAACTCCAACAAAAACAACAAAACCTGGTGGTTAATTGGCAACAGGTCAGTAACATGATTGGCTATAAAAAAGCATCCCAGAGAGGCTGAGTTTTCAAAAGTAAAGATGAGGAGGGGCTCACCACTCTGAAAGACTGTACAGGAAAGTAGTGCAACCATTAAAAAAATACATTCTCAACATAAAGTTTCTTAACATAAAATAGCAGAAATGTTTGCTTTTCATCATCTACAGTACAAGTGTCATTAAAAGATTCAGAGAATCTGGAGAAATCTCTGTATGTATCTCTGTAAGATTCTGTAGTGGAAATCACTGCATGGGCTCAGAAACACTTGACAGAAACCACTGTCTGTGAAAACAGTTCGTCGCTGTGTCCGCAAATGCAAGTTACCACTCTAAAACGCAAAGAAGAAACCACATATAAACAGGATCCAGGAATGCTGCCACCTTTTCTGGGCCTGAGCTCATTTAAAATGGACTGAGAGGAAGTGGAAAAGTGTCCTGTGGTCCAATGAATCAAAATTGGAAAAAAAATTTGGAAATGATGGACACTGTGTCCTCAGGAATAAAGACCACTCAGCTTGTTATCAGTGCACAGTTCAAAAGCCAGTATTCCTGATGGTCTGGGAGGGCATTAGTGCACATGGCAGGGGTGACTGGCACATCTGTGAAGGCATCACTAATGCTGAACAATATATACTTGTTTTGGCAACATGTGCTGCCATCCAGTCGACGTCTTTTTCAGGAAAGTCCTTGATTATTTCAGCAGGACAATGTCAAACCACATTCTGCATGTGTTACAACAGCATGGCTCCATATTAAAAGAGTCTGGGTGCTACACCGGCCTGTCTGCAATCCAGACCTGTCACCTCTGAAAACTTTTGGCACATTATGAAATGGAAAATACAACAAAGGAGACCCCAAAGTGTTGAGCTGCTGAAATCAAATATCAAGCAACAACAGGAAAAAAAATCACTTTCAAAACTACAGCAATTGGTCTCTTCAGTTCCCGAACAATTAGAGTGTTGTTAAAAGAAGAGGTGATGAAACACAGTGGTAAACATGCCCCCGTCCCAACTTTTTTGGAACATGTTGTTGGCATCAAATTCAAAATGGGCATATATTTTTCAAAAAACAATAAAAATTCTCAGTTTCAACATTTGATATGTTGTCTTTGTAGTATTTTCCTGTAAAAATATGGTTTACATGATCTACACCTCATTGCATTATATTTTCATTTACATTCTGTACAGCGTCCCTTTTTTGGAAATGGGATTGTAGATCAAATCAAACTCTCAAATGGCAGCACCGGGAATGGATAACTTCCACATGTGCAGAGTTCGCTGGAAGCAGTCCTGGGTCCTGAAAGAAGCTCTTGTGTGAAAACGCCCCTCTACATATACCTCATCTGTGTTTGACTTGCTTTGTTTACTGTTTTTCTAAATGGATCTGCTTTGTGACTATGAGTGTTGGATTTGCCCCAATAAAGCTACTCTGCATTTGCAGCTCACCTATCAACCCCAATGGTTAGAGTCTTGAAGAGACCCCCAAAAGCCAGAGTAGAATTCAAATAATGGATAATTTACTAATTTGTTCATGATCATTGTTTGAGCTCATCAGACTTCTGTTCTCCTGGTTTGGTTCTTGTTATATTTTTAGACGCACCTCATTGAACTGGCTTGTAACCAGACGTGGACAGAAATAAAGTTACTGCCATTTTGTGGTATTTTGAAACGCATAACTGAGTTTTATGAGGAGAGTGAAATTTTACTTAATATGAATTTTATGGTTTTATTCCAATTGCAATGATACACAAATCCCAGATGAATATAAACATAATTTAACAAACATTTTTAGTGATAAATATTTTCCTTGATCACATGACTAGCTCACCTTAAATACTGACTGTATGTGTTTCCTGACTTACAACAGAATGTATTTTGTTCTTAGTGACTTCACGAACAGTTGCTTGTATGTGTTTATACAGACTGTCTATGGTCTTTAGTATATGCACGAACACCTACTTGACAGTACTTGACAGAATGTCTGTTGTGCTGACATAATCCTTAGCACATGTACCAACAGCTGCAGGGGAAATACACAGTATAAAAGCCTGTATGCTAGAACAGTTTCAGGCTTGGCTACTGCAGACTGATGGACACCACACTCTCGAATAAAGTCTGCCTCACTCCTCTGTTCTTGGCCACAAAAAGATGTAGAACAGTAGGCCTTAACTTCTGTCTTCACACTACTTCTGCATTTTTGTTTGTGAATAAAGAAGTGCATAAAAACAATTTGCATCAAAGATTTTCATGTATAGTCAAGCCTAAATAAACAAGGGTGGTGTGATACTGAGCTTTTACGCCATTTGTAGATATTCTAAAATTGTGATCTTTAAGGTTCAGATATTCACTTACCCAGTTTCAAAAACATTTGGAGTTCATCTCTTTCCTTCCGTAACTGGTTTCTCTCTTGATTCAGGTTGGTGTTTTTGGTCTGTAACGGGTCTCTCTCTACAGTCAGGCTAGTGTAACTGGTCTGTAACTGATTTCTCTCTATAGTTAGGTTGGTGTAGCTTGTCTGTAACTGGTCTCTCTTTCAGCCAAACTGGTGTAACTGATCTTTAACTGGTCTTTCTCTTTAGTCAGATTGGTGTTTTTGGTCTCTAAATGTTTTTTTCTATAGTCAGGTTGGTGTTACTGGTCTGTAACCGGTCTCTCTCTATAGTCAAGTTGGTGTAGCTGGTCTGTAACTGGTCTCTCTTTTCAGTCAAACTGGTGTAACTGGTCTCTCTTTTCAGTCAAACTGGTGTAACTGGTCTCTCTCTTTAGTCAGATTGGTGTTTTTGGTCTGTAAATGGTTTCTTTCTATAGTCAGGTTGGTGTTACTGGTCTGTAACTGGTCTCTCTCTATAGTCAGGTTGATGTAACTGGTCTGTAACTGGTCGCTCTCTTTAGTCAGAACTGGTCTGTAACGGTCTCTCTCTATAGTCAGGTTGATGTAACTGGTCTGTAACCGGTCTCTCTCTATAGTCAGGTTGGTGTTACTGGTCTGTAACCTGGTCTCTCTCTATAGTCAGTTGGTGTAGCTGGTCTGTAACTGGTCTCTCTTTTCAGTCAAACTGGTGTAACTGGTCTGTAACTGGTCTCTCTCTTTAGTCAGATTGGTGTTTTTGGTCTGTAACTGGTCTCTCTCTATAGTCAGATTGGTGTTACTGGTCTGTAACTGGTCTCTCTCTATAGTCAGATTGGTGTAACTGGTCTGTAACCGGTCTCTCTCTATAGTCAGGTTGGTGTTACTGGTCTGTAACCGGTCTCTCTCTATAGGCAAGTTGGTGTAGCTGGTCTGTAAACTGGTCTCTCTTTCAGTCAAACTGGTGTAACTGGTCTGTAACTGGTCTCTCTCTATAGTCAAGTTGGTGTAGCTGGTCTGTAACTGGTCTCTCTTTTCAGTCAAACTGGTGTAACTGGTCTGTAACTGGTCTCTCTCTTTAGTCAGATTGGTGTTTTTGGTCTGTAACTGGTCTCTCTCTATAGTCAGATTGGTGTTTTTGGTCTGTAAATGATTTCTTTCTATAGTAAGGTTGGTGTTACTGGTCTGTAACTGGTCTCTCTCTGTAGTCAGGTTGATGTAACTGGTCTGTAACCGGTCTCTCTCTATAGTCAAGTTGGTGTAGCTGGTCTGTAACTGGTCTCTCTCTTTAGTCAGATTGGTGTTTTTGGTCTGTAACTGGTCTCTCTCTACAGTCAGGCTAGTGTAACTGGTCTGTAACTGATTTCTCTCTATAGTTAGGTTGGTGTAGCTTGTCTGTAACTGGTCTCTCTTTCAGCCAAACTGGTGTAACTGATCTTTAACTGGTCTTTCTCTTTAGTCAGATTGGTGTTTTTGGTCTCTAAATGTTTTTTTCTATAGTCAGGTTGGTGTTACTGGTCTGTAACCGGTCTCTCTCTATAGTCAAGTTGGTGTAGCTGGTCTGTAACTGGTCTCTCTTTTCAGTCAAACTGGTGTAACTGGTCTCTCTTTTCAGTCAAACTGGTGTAACTGGTCTCTCTCTTTAGTCAGATTGGTGTTTTTGGTCTGTAAATGGTTTCTTTCTATAGTCGGGTTGTTGTTACTGGTCGTAACCGGTCTATCTCTATAGTCAGGTTGATGTAACTGGTCTGTAACTGGTCGCTCTCTTTAGTCAGATTGGTGTTTTTGGTCTGTAAATGGTTTCTTTCTATAGTCAGGTTGGTGTTACTGGTCTGTAACCGGTCTCTCTCTATAGTCAGGTTGATGTAACTGGTCTGTAACCGGTCTCTCTCTATAGTCAGGTTGGTGTTACTGGTCTGTAACTGGTCTCTCTCTATAGTCAAGTTGGTGTAGCTGGTCTGTAACTGGTCTCTCTTTTCAGTCAAACTGGTGTAACTGGTCTGTAACTGGTCTCTCTCTTTAGTCAGATTGGTGTTTTTGGTCTGTAACTGGTCTCTCTCTATAGTCAGATTGGTGTTACTGGTCTGTAACTGGTCTCTCTCTATAGTCAGATTGGTGTAACTGGTCTGTAACTGGTCTCTCTCTATAGTCAGGTTGGTGTTACTGGTCTGTAACCGGTCTCTCTCTATAGTCAAGTTGGTGTAGCTGGTCTGTAACTGGTCTCTCTTTTCAGTCAAACTGGTGTAACTGGTCTGTAACTGGTCTCTCTCTATAGTCAAGTTGGTGTAGCTGGTCTGTAACTGGTCTCTCTTTTCAGTCAAACTGGTGTAATTGGTCTGTAACTGGTCTCTCTCTATAGTCAGATTGGTGTTTTTGGTCTGTAACTGGTCTCTCTCTATAGTCAGATTGGTGTTACTGGTCTGTAACTGGTCTCTCTCTATAGTCAGATTGGTGTTTTTGGTCTGTAAATGATTTCTTTCTATAGTAAGGTTGGTGTTACTGGTCTGT